AGCATATTCTTACTGATTCTGATTGAAAATAAAATTCTTCATTGAATAAATCTATTTCTGACTAATTAAAATTAGATACTCATAAAGATTCAGACCAAATATTGATTTTTAATACCTTTAGAAAATGCTTTAGATCTTTGTTATTATCCGACCAGCCTCAGGTTCAAAAAAATTAATTTGCAAATAAATCAAGTCCAATGTTAATCCTTAGGCGAATAAGATTAGAGTCAGATTTTATCGTATGCAAAGTTAGTAATTTGACACATATGGCTTTATTTTAAGAAAAACATTCAAGAAACATTGACAATGCTTCGATTAAAACATTTGTATATTGTTTTAGCAAATCAAAGCTTAATAAAACTGATACTAATAAATGACAATTCTCATTATCGTTAATATTATCTGACAACAGCAAGTAAACTTTTAAAGAGTGAAAGAGATATTATGCAAACTGTTGCTGAACAATAGAATGCATATTCTCATTTTGTTTTTTTATTAAAATAAATCTAACTCACATTTTGTAATTGAATATATTATCTTTTAAATAACAATAATAAGATGTTCAATATGAGTTTATTGAAATCTAAAAAGAACTTGATTTTAAAGCAATATATTTAAATCATAAAAATTCAATTGAAATTTAATAATTTATGAATTTCGATGAAACAATAATTAATACCATGTTTCTTTTTCTTCATATGTCGTTAGTATTAATTTACACTTTAAAATAACAGTTACTATATCATATTTGTTGATTATTATCTTGAAAAGAATGTTTTGTTTCTACACATAGAGCTCTACAGTATAGAGATCATATCAACTATTGTATGAGAAAAGTACTCATATTCTATTAAAGACTTTATTAATAACTAAACCATATGCGCATATGTCAATAGGCAGTTGTTTTGTTACAAACTAATGGCTGAACGTAATTATCATAACATCCGAATGAAATGAATTGACAGCTGGATGCACAACACAAAATAGATATTGCATTATCTCTAACTACTCGTCTAGCAGTTTTGCAGAACTACCAATGACTCATATTGAATTGTTGACAGTTCATTTTGATTGGTTTATTTTCTACCATAGCATTCATTCTTTGTCCTCGAATTTGATTTTATAGAAATAAATAAATAATAAAATATGAGTAAAAAACTTAAGAACTCATATGAATTATGATTATATTTATAAAAAATAATTTAGAATAAAACAAGACAATATAATTGGCTATCAAATTGATTTGAAAGAAATCAACAAAAAAAACAAGATTAATTAATCCTGTATCGATTCTGTTATCTTCATCGTTTATCATAGCATTTTGCTAATGTCTATAGGAATTCGAGACAAACGAGTTTTATATGACAATCCATGTGCACCTATTGTAAAATTTTCTCAAACGAATTCTCATTTAAATACCAATGATGATTCTGATGAAGAAGACATGACTGATGATCAATCAATATCGAATCATAATAACGATACATTACTAAATCCAACACTTGGTTAGTTGAAAAGAACAAAAAAATACCCTATTTTTTGTTCATAAAAATATTATTTTTAGGTGAACATTCATTTAAAGCATCATCACTTGAAGATCTTGTTAAATCATTTGATAATACAATAAATGCTTGTTTTAAAGATGAACAATTAATTGAATTAGATCATCAAGAACAAGAACAACACTCTAAAACACCACAAAAAGATCTTGTTGCTTCATCAAAGTTTGTTTATTAATTTTTATTTTATTTTATTATTTTCTTTTTATTTAGTACATGGTCAGAATTAATTGAAAATCTTCGTACATCACTTCGTCATGATTTAAAATTACCAAATATATCTCAAAGTTGTCAAATAGCAATGAATAGTATTTATAGTCAAACAACTAAATCAAATACAAATGAAGATGATATAACATCAATTGATGATTTAAATGAAGATGAAGAAGAAGAATTACGTGAACAATTAGATATGCATTCAGTTATTATTTCATCAAATCATGAACCATTTCTTACAGCTGAACAAGTTATTAGTGAAATTGATTTTATGTTACAAGATATGACACCTGATTCAGGTTATTGTGATGATCAATCAACATCTGATATACTTGATTTGCGTACAAGACGTGTTAAATATTTATCATCAAGTATGCATAATGATGAAATAGATTTAAAATCACAAACAATTTATTCATTAAATGAACTATATGAAGAATTAAATACATCCGTTAAAGAATTATCAAATTTTCTTGTTCAAGTAAATACACAAAATGAAAACCTTGTGTTTTTTTTTTCATTAATTGTTTTTTCTTTCTTTAGGAATTAGCTATTCGAGATGAACTTGAATATGAAAAAGAAACAAAGAATACATTTATATCACTTGTACTTAGTATTCAAGTAAATGTTGTTTTTCTTCTCCTTAGGACAAAAACACAACATTATTCTTTTTTTCAGAATAAACGTCGACATCATCAGGGTGAAAAACGTCCGAAACGTCGTTCAATACTGGGAAATAGCAATTATATTGAACCGGGAACGGTAAATATTATATGCTCTTTCTATTTTGCGCTCTCCATATAATTGAAAATGGGTAATAGAATCAAACAGTTTGTATTATTGCTTTTACAGATACGATTAGTATGAACGTGCGAATAATGTGTATTGGGAATTCTCTTTTCCTAGAGAAAAGGCAAAAAAGAAAAATGTTAGATGAATATTTATTATTATACAGATGAGTTGTTGAGTAAACTTTTTCTTTCCTTTTTCTATACTATCGAACGCTGTGATTATTAATTGGATTAGTATAGGAGAAGTGTAAAGAGAAATGAAGTGGGGTCATGAGTTCATTCATATTTACATGATGATATTGATTAATCGAAAAAAACGACAAGAAAATAAATTGGTTATTTTTTTTCCATATGTAAACTTTTTATCAATTAAATGAATATATATATATATTTTGAAACTAATATGAATTAATCATATTCTGATCAGCATGTTAACAACTTATTTGCATTAAAATATAGCATTCTATGTCCATTAATAAAACATGCATTCAAAAGACTCCATGGATAGTTAGAAATATAGAATATTTTAGACATTGACTGTAATAAGATATGCGAAAGAATTGTCACATACATGCATAACTTGACTAATGTTTTTAGCGAAGAAGTAATCTTTCATAGATCTCTCCGAAAGTCTACTTAATCAGTCGAAGATCAAATATTGTTTAAGATTATTAAAACGTTCTAAATATGGATATAATTCAATTGGTTAATACGACCTTGGACAAAACGAATAATGATCTAAAAATAGAAGACAACAATAAACAATAGTTAAAACAAGTTATATTATTATTATTATTATTATTATTGTTGTAGTATACTCGGATGATTGATAAGGTTATATCGAGAACGTGGCAACTCTGGGAATAATTAGTTAGATATTATTTGTTATTGTCATACAACAAAATGGATAGTATTTTCTTCTTCTTTCACTTAAACAAATTGAGTTTTGGCGCTTTCAATAATGAAAAGAAAAAGAATACGAATAAATGATTTTATTCCATGACAAAACTAAATTTGGTTTAGATATTATCATGTCGTAGTCGATCAGTATTCGACATTTTTTCGACTAGTTGGCATGAACTGTTTCCAAAGACTCAGGTAGATTACATAACTAATATCAAAATAAATGCATATCGAATAGCCTCACTTATATCATATTTATCAATACATGTTGTTTCATATGCTTATCATTATTTTAGATGCTATATATATATATATGCTGCTTTTAATTATATATCTGTGAGACTTAGAATGATAATTATAATTATTTCCATTCTATCTTTAATTTTAGTATCTTACAACGGTGATTCCATATGATCGTGATCATCCAACATATTTATCAGTTGAACATTTACAAAGTTTAAATAAAAGTTAGTTAGAAAATTTGATTGCGTAGTTCGATTAAAATAATTTTTCTTTTGTTTTTATAGTACTTCACGCAATTAATGAGGATAGTCCTCAAGTGCCAGACCTTTTAACAAAATACATTCTCAATGTTCTATGTCCATGTTGACAAGAATATCATATTCTAATATAGTCATGTTTAATAATTTTTCGCTGTATGTTTGTGCGCTTTTGTACTGTGGTGATTTTTTTTTTATTGTGCATGTTTTAGACTTTTGTCTATATTTTATCTTATTAGAGCTAGTTTCTTTTTTTTTCTGTTTTTGTTTTCTGTTCTTGATTTATGACATCATGCTATTCAGATATTTTACATTAGCTTATATTTATATCAAAGAAATTTACGCAAATATGTTGTCTTGATATTTAATCTAGTCTTTTTTTTTCGTTCTTTGTCGGTTAGACTGATAAATAAGTTTTTAATGTATAATCTGCGCGCCTTCACCTTGGTATTTTATCAAAGCATTATTATTAATATGCATATATTATATTTGTATTGTGTGTATTATTGTCTATATAAAATAATAAATATTCGGGTTTCTTTTTTCGGGGGAAGGAAAATAAATTAATAGAGTTCATCAAGTTTATTACATCCTGTTTGCTGTGAAAATAGAAATAATTATGCCAACAAATCAATTCGGTTCGTGCTGGAATCAAAACAGATATATAAACATTTTTCTGATTCCATGACCTATTCAACTAGATGAATATGTTAAGAATGTAATTGCCTTTAGCAAAGCTATTGATCGGCAAGAGACATTACTACATGAAGTAAATAGCAGAGAATAAAGAGAAAACACTTTGGCAATAATAAAGATACATATCAAATTGAATTGGATAATTAAGATTGTTATGGATGTCGAACATTTGTTTACGAAATGATTCAACTGATTTTCATATTTAAAATTTAGAGTTCGGATGGTTAATGAATTAAAATAAATAATTCCATTATAAAAGTTGTCTAATTTTTTTTTTCTATCGATAGGATATTTTAGCGGGTTTTCTTTTCCTTTTTATATGAAATGAATATATAATGTATTACGCATTTGTAATTGTTGGATTCCTATTTACGGCCTATGGATACGCCCATAGTAATGAAGATCGATATTATTTCGAATCAATCTTACAAGCATTATGGCGATATCCAATTGTAAAACAAATACTTATCCGTTTGTGTAGTAAAGAACTTGATAAATGTAAGCATGATCAAATGCTACGAGCTTATACAAATATGATTAATGATCATAATTTACAACAAATCTTAGATAGTCTTATTGAATGTTTTATTAATTCAGAAACATGTATTCAAAACGATGATTGGCAACAATGGTCAGAATGGAGTTCATGTTCAGTTAGTTGTGGAATTGGTAAGAATAATTAATATTATGAAAATTAAAATATAAAACAAAGGATTTTTATGAAGATTATATTCTTTCAAATTTTATTCCGCGTCAATATATCATTAATCAAAAGAAAAATTATCTTGACTGTCAAATTATATAAAGATTAAGTTTGTCGGAGATACTGTCGCGTTATTTTTCAGTTTTGTTATTTATAATTTTTTTATTTTATAGGTCGTATTGTACGTACTCGATCTTGCAAATCCGATCGTCAATGTTTAATAGGTTCATATTCAACTCAAACCGATTATTGTTTTATTAAATCTTGTACAACAAATAATGATCGAAAACATTTAAATATACTAGAAGATAATATTATTTCACATACTATCGATCATAAATTAATACGTAATAATTTAAATATTATTTTTATTTTTATTTTTCCATTTTTCTTTACACTTTTATGTATACCATTATGTGTGTATTATTATATATATGAATGTGATTTTAAAATTCATGCATTAACTATTTATATTCTATCTCTATGTAATAGACATTGTGAAGCGAAGAAAAGAAGAATAAACACAAGTCTATGATAATCATGATTATTGTTGTTGTTGTTGTTTTTGCACGACATTCTTAAGTGTGGGTGATCGATAACTTAATATGCACAACTATTATTCGTTTATACAACTGATGTAGTCTGTCACTAGTCTAAAAGAAAAACTTGAAAATTAATTCCAGAAGGTCATTATTTGATGGTATCAATATGTTTGTGTGTTAGTGAAGAATAAAAAGAAAACGCAGTATAACTTCTAGACTGATATGAAATGTAGGTATATGAGTGTTCAAAATATAACAAAAATAATAATTGTTAATGATATTTGTAAAAAACAGTCATAGCTTATTATTATTCTTGATTTTATAATCAATATTATAATAATGTATCTGTTTTGTACAACTCTGAACTTTAATCTTTTTATTTGTTTGTACAAAAGATTGACAGGTACAATGGTCTTTTTCTTGTTATAATCCAGGGCTTTTGTTTTCTATCACCATTGTCTATTTTGTCTTAGTTATACGATAGATTGTATCAATAGAATACTTCACGTGAAATTGTTTTCTGCTATTATTTTCTACTGGTATCTTATGTTATAGATTTTTTCGATAAGGATATCTCCTATCTATTGCTAATATTATCATGTCGTCATCTTCATGCATACGACAGTATTCTATTGATGAAGACAACGTTAATGCGCAACCTTCTTATGCTTGCACTAGTATGATTATCCACATCAGTTGCAGACACCCACTTTCATAGTATATATATATATATATATTTATATATATGTATATGTGTGGGGCGAGGAAACATCTAGCGTATGGTGGCGTATGCGTTTGTATATATATTGCATCTATTAATAGACATACATCTCGTTTTTTTTCATGTAGGAGAAAACGAAGAAAATAAATGCAGCTTTCATTGTTTTTCTCGAGTTTTTTACACCAGCCTAATCAACCTAGTTTTCTTTAAGGTTTGTTAATATATAGACAGCAATGTGTATATATACATATATATATATATATATATCAATATAAGAGTAAGATGCACTGATATAAATCAAAAAATGAAAACAATATCATTTTCATGTTGGGAAATATTTGATATAACATACGATGTGTAAGTCTTTGGACAAATGTTAATCTATGTTAGACCATATTGCCAACGTCTAAACCAATGAAATTTTTTTTGTTGTTGGAAAGAACAAAGTTTGAATTACAAAGTTTGTACCAGACCTTTTTTTCTAGAACGAATCTACGAAGCAGTTGAAGCTAAAAATCAAATACCTCTAAAAATGTTTTTGCAACGTCAAGTTCTATTTTCTGTTCTGCTTTTTTATATCAGAAACAAAATAAAAAATGCACATTTCATGAGGATTTTTGTAGCATAAATAGTACTCTTTCCAATGGTGTATTGGAAGTTGAACTTAGTCTTGATTCTTTAAAAAATAATAGCTATTTCTGTATGATACTCTATAATTTGGTCTTGCTTACTCTACCTGACCGTTTTGTAATAACACAAGAAGTTTTTTGAACTTTTTTTCTGCTAAATTTCTGGAATCTAAAGTATTTCGAACAAATAAAACATAAAAATTTCACTTCATACATAATTTCGGGAGATTGTACTTGATCTTTTTTCAAATTGATAAACCTTGTAAAAGCCTCTATTTTACAAAAATTTCAATTCCCTATATTTTTATTAAAGAATTTACCAAAGCTGATATTGATAGAACTTTTGATATTTTATAGTTTGGTGCATTTTTTGTAAAAACTCGATCCCTATAGCTCAAGATAATTGAGAAATAAAAACTTTTCAAGTTCCAAAAGCGTTGCAAGAACTTTTAAAGAGATGTTTGACTTTTAGCTTCTCTTGTTTCTTACATTCATTTCAGAAAAATAGACCTGGTAGAAACTTTATGGTTTAGACATTGCTCTTTCCAACAACAAAAAAAATTGATTGGTTTAGAAGTGGGTACTATGATCTAATAAAGGTTGACATTTGTCCAAAGACTTTTGCATCATATGTTTTTTTAAAATGTTTGCTTATCAAATCAAATAGTAAACGATGGTTTTTCAATCGTGGAATATGGCATGATTGATAGATATTGATGTCTATAGCGGTCATTATCATGACGATTAAGCTTTGTATTATTTATGCTTGTATGCATCCAGGGACGATTAACATTCTTTTTTCTTTATCGTCATCTTGGTGTCGATCACATTGCTCGACTTTATCATAAAACATTTGCTCGTTTTTTTTGGCCATATCATATAACTACAATACGCTTGTGTTTTCCAGTTCTAATTATATTATCGTTAGAGATGGATGGGTGTATTGCTATCTTATCAATAGTCTTTTTTTTTCATAGTTTTTCTCTAGTTTTCAGAGAAAAACTTTCGTTTGGCTATTATATCCATAGTTATATACAAATTCTTCATCGTTGATTATAAGCCGTTGAGAAATATTCTTTCTGTTCTTTGTAGAAAAACGAATATGGAAAAAAACCGCATCAGAGTGCAACTGATATCATATACAAGAAAAAAGAGAAAAGAACTTTTGTCATCATCTTCCGCTCTTTCAGTTAGCACTAGTGTGTACCACCCTCCTTCTACCCTCTTCTTCAAGCGTGTGTATATGGAGATACTTAGATGATCAACACCGGCTAACGCGTTAATACAGGAATATGGGGTATTTTTTACCGTATACAATAGTACATGGTTTTCCTCGTCTCGTTTCCTCTCTCTCTCTCTCTCTCTTCCCCTTTCTCTCATTTAGGCTTAGCTTGTCGTCAACTATCTCTATAATATTTTTTATGATTATTTCTTTGATACTTTTCTTGCATATGTATACATATATATACATATAACTAAAATGGAGGGCTAATATTTTCTTTTTATTGATATTTTTATTATTTACTTTTACTTTTATTTTTGATAGATAATTAGTTAGTAAATTGTTGGATTAATAGAAGCAGAAAGAAAGGAATGGCATCTAGTGCGCCACGGTTTTCTAAACCACCAGATATTCGACAAATACCAGATGATCCCACGCGTCTTTTTCTCGAATGTCAGGTGCAAGGTACACCCAAGCCTGATATAACCTGGCTACAAAATAATAATAAACTTTCAAATACACCTAAGCATAAACAAACAATTCAAGTTACAACAGGAAATAACTATAATGTAGCACTTGAAATTTCTGATCTTAGTGCTAATGATGCTGGTACATATCAAATTGTTGTTAAAAACAAAGCCGGTGAAGTAAAAGCTAATGTTAATTTAAATCTTTCAAGTGATGATGATACTGAGCCAACAGATGGTGCTGGAAAGTAAATATACTCTTATTTGATTTATTTAAATTAAAAAAAAAATTTCTTTTTTTTAATTTGTTTAGTTCGGCTGACGGTACTACACCAGTATTTATTCAAAAGCCAACTATAAGACAAGAAAATGATGGAAAACGTTTAATATTTGAATGTAAAATATCCGCTGAACCTAAGCCCGATATATTTTGGTCCCATGATGATATGTCAATACAAAATTCTGGTCGTTATTTAATTTATTGTGATGCTTTACCAAATAACACATATGTTGCATGTCTCGAAATCGATGATGTTAATTCATCGGATGGTGGCAAATATAAAGTTTTAGCCAAAAACCAATTAGGAGAAAGCAATGCACATATTGCTTTAAACCTTGAGAGTAAGTATTTTATATAAAACTTTCATCTTTACATATATATTAACTAAACATAAATATTTACTATTGATATAATAATATAAATGATCCATAGCATTGTAAGGTTTTGTGTTGTCGTGTACTTAATCGAAATAACAATACGCTGAGTCATTGATTGTTAGAAAATAGAAATATATTTGTTTAGGTCCAGATCAAGGTACTGGTGGACGACCTACATTTACTAAAGCACCTGATGTTCGTATGTTTGAAGAATCAGCACTTTTAGAGTGTCAATGTACAGCTGACCCAGTACCAAGTTTTACATGGACACTTGATGGAAAATCTATTGCTCTCGGGACAAAATATAAACAAGGAATCGTAACAGAAGGCAATATACATCGAATTTTTCTTGAAGTTTCTCAAATAGGAACAAAAGATTCAGGAATATATAAAGTTACAGCAAAAAATGCTAAAGGTGATGGAGCAGCAAGTATTCAATTGAACATAGAAGGAATTGATTTCAAGTTTGTATAAGAAAATAACATAAAATTTTCATATTTATTTTATCATTTTATTATTTAGACTACCGGATGGCCTTGCACCAACATTTCTTGGTAAACCAACTATTAAACAAGATGCTAAAACTGCCGTTGTTCAAATCGATATCGCTGCTGATCCAAATCCATCAATATATTGGACGAAAGATGGAAAAGATTTACTTAATGTTGATAAATATATTTCACGCATGGATCGAAAAGGAGGAAATAAATATAGTATTTTTCTTGATATCAAGGTTAATCAATCATAATTATTATTTTTATTAATTAAAAAAATTTGCTTTTTTTTTATTTAAATAGAATTTAGCTTCATCGGATAGTGGTCTCTACAAATGTACAATATCAAATGAAGTTGGCACATCAATTGCTAATATTGTTATCAAAGTTGCTGGTATTTTATGTGATAATTACAATAGATATTTTTTATAAATTTTCGTTTTTCTTTTCTTTTTACAATAGGTGATAAAGCTAGTTTAGAACAATTAGATAAATTAGCACCGGCACTTGAAAAACCGAAAATTACAAAAGATATAAAACAAAAATCAATTAAAATTGAATATCGTTGTAAAGGAAAACAAGAACCAAAAATAACATGGAAAAAAGTTAAAAATGAAATAAAAGATACACCAAATAAATATAAGATTAATAAAAAAAAAGAAACTGATGATACATATTTATGTACACTTGATATTCTTGTAAGTTTTGTTATCTTCTTAATACAAAAACAAAAATCCAATAAATGATTTATTGTTCTATATATTCAGAATGCTACATCATCTGATAGTGGTGTTTATAAAATC